TGTTAATAAGTTAATAAGTCCCCCGTATAAAATACATTAGACCTTTTTTTTTTCCCTTTATTATCTTAAAGCAAATTAAACGGATCTCGTTTTTTTCTCATTGCTAAATGTCGCCCAGGGGTTGTAGCTAAGACAGGGAAGGACGTGATGGAGAATGTGACGGACGGTCTCAATAGAGCTGTGTTTCAAGGCGCTGGGAGAGAGAGGGAGAGAGCGAGCGAGAGAGCGAGAGAGAGAGAGAGAGAGAGAGAGAGAGAAGGGGCGAGGAATCAAATCTAATTTGCGATTTATGTAATGCAAGCTCGTTTGGCTCTGACCATCCACGGTTAATTGACTGTCAAACGAGATTTGTATCCTTAGGCTACGTCTGAAACTGTGCCTGTCACACACACAGAGACAGAAACAGAGAGAGAGAGAGAGAGACACACACACACACACACACACACACACACACACACACAGAGCCAGAAAGAGCTTTGGGAGTCCGAAAAGCTCTCCCTTTTTTTTTTTTGGTGGGGGTTGAGGATGAAAAATCGGCGTCTCTTGTGAAATGCATCATTTTAGATTTCAGCTGAGTTTTAAGAAATGAATTTGCCGGAATCAACTTCACGGTAATAATAATCCTTGCATTTAAAATAACGCCCTATCACATCTTCGAGACGTCTCGAAGCACTGCACCGAATATACAGTAAAGTGAATTGACCGTATATTTTGCGGACGAAATGTTGCATCGGTAGATGAACGGTGTAGTCAGGAATCTTAATGCGGGTGTGTGTGTGTGTGTGTGTGTGGAATTTTAGATAAGTCCATGTGAAAGATTCCCAACACAGAAACAGTTTTTTTGCACAATTTATTCATTTCAAAACGTTCATTTTCCCACAATGGAAATTGTCATTTGGTTTTATCCCTCTTATCTGTCTTAATGACGGCAATTTGGTCACTCAATCCACGTCCATGGGACGCTGCTGTGCGCAATTGGCTGCCGTGTTTCACCCACAGTCACTGCACTTTACAGTATATGAAAGCTCAACAACGCGATAAGGCGCCATATCAATAATTATTATTGTCCTCTATTTTTCTGAACGATAAAGGTTTAGAAACTGCGCTCGAATTGAGGAAGGGGGAGAGATGTCTCACCTATGGGAACAATTTTTAGATGCGAAAAATTGGAATTTGGGGGCTATTTGAATTATTATTAAAAAAATTGCTGTTTTCTACACTAGGTGATAAAGTGCAAGATTCGCCCACAGCCCATCCCATGAAGACAGATCTGGATAACATGGAGAAAGGTGAGAACAAGATGGAGATGCGGGTGTTAAATTAGATCAAATAAACTACCTGTGAAAGGTAATAATAATAATAATAATAATCCTTGAATTTGATAGAACGCCTTATCACATCGTTGAGGCATCTCAAAGTGCTTCATAGAATATATATAAAGTGAATTGACTGTATTATCTTGTGGGAAACACGCAGCAGCCAAGAGAAGGCAAGACTGACATATTTAAAGTCTTTTTAATGATTTAATAATAATAATAATAATAATGGTCTGATTTGGTCACTCAACCCACGGCTGTTTATGGGACACCGCTGTGCGCAATTAGCTCCCGCGTTTCGCCCACAAAATACACAGTCACTACACTTTACGGTATATTCTGGCAAGCGCTTTGAGACGTCTCAGCGACATGATCAAGCACTATATCAGATGCAAGGATTATTATTCCTTGCTTTGCACACGCAGCGCCTCAAGGATCAATCCCAGTGCCCTGGTGTGCTTGCTGCTAAGTGTAGTGACTGTGCGTTTGTAAGCAACAATGCCAGAAATCCCCCTGTTACGCTGAGCTCCCTGTCTGTGCCTCTTCTGTTGAGGATCCCGCTGTTGGAAAAGAAAAGGGAGTTTCTCTCTCCTGGTGTCCTGGCTGACACTGCTCTATTTATATGATTCCCTGACAGCTGTGTGCAAATTGGCAGCCGTGCTCAGCTCCGAAAACACAGTCACCGCATTTGACAACAAATTTCTGCCGTTAAGCTGTTTCAAAGTGATAAGGTGCTGTATCAAACACAAGGATTATTATTATTATTATTATATTATTGTGTATAAGGTATTGTAGAAAATATATCCAGAGACTTTCTCTAATCAGGATGTACGTGTAACTCTCACCTTAATCTACAGTACATTTGCCATTGTGAAATGTGAATCTTGGACATTTTATGTTAACAGTAATCCTTGCATTTAATATAGCGACTTATCACGTCTTCGAGACGTCTCAAAGCGCTTCACGGAATAGACTGTAAAGTGACTTGACTGTGTGTTCTGTGGACGAAATCTGTTTCTCATTTTCTCCTATACAATAGACATATAGATAGAAACATGTCTAGGTGTTAGGGATATAAATAGGTGTAGTTCCCTCTGCTGTGGGATTTCAGTCCATTGCGATGTAGTGTGTATTTTTGCTCACGTCTCTATGCACATACGAACCTGCATTTGGTCACTCAATCCACGACTGTTTGTGGGGACGCTGCTGTGCGCAATTGGCTGCTGCGTTTCGCCCACAAAAATACTCACTTTCACCGCACTTTACAGTATATGTTCTGTGAAACCTTTGTGATGTCTCGACATCATGATAAGGCGCTTTATCAAACGCAATAATTATTATTATTAGTAGTAATATTATTATTAACTCCACACCCACCACATTTCAGTACTGATATCAGGACTGGAAATAAACCCATTTTTGGCAGATTCCCTGGTCTCTCACAATACACCTTTTTCCTCGTTTCATTTCAATTTGTTTCCTTTCTGAACAAATAGCTTTTTTTTTACACTCCTTATCCACCTGAGCTCACATGAGGAAAGTGGATAAATAGATAAATGGAGAAATAAGAAAGAGATATCTAGTGATACAGACATTGATATATAGAGGTTGATATATAGAGATAGAGAGGTTGTGTGATAAATAGAAAGAGAGAGAGAGAGGAATTAATTTCCTATTGATTTACTCAGCTGGGAGATTAGTGCTGGATGAATAAAAAGATAGATTAGGCAGATAGTGATGTAGAAAGTTAGATATAGATATTTATAGATAAAGATATAGAGATAATAATAAAGATGATAATCCTTACATTTGGAATAGCGCCTTATCACGTCTTCGAGACGTCTCAAAGCGCTTCACAGAATATACTGTAAAGTGAATTGACTGTATATATTGTGGGTGAAACATGGCAGCCAATTGCACACAGTAATCTCACGAACAGTTGTGGATTGAATGACCAAATTTCTTTTATCTTAAGGGATTATTATTATTACTACCCCCGGAAAAGCAATCTGCCAATCGATTAACAACCGGGTTCCTACTTACTGCTAGATAAACAGGGATAGATATAAGATACAGGTAGGTAGGGCAATTAATCGTCAACTCTCATAGATCAATGAGACAATTAATTGAGACAAACTGATAGAGATGGATGACGAAATGGAGCTCGGAACGCGATATAGAAGAGAGAGGCACATGGAAATGTTACAAGGTTTGACACAGAACCATACAGACATACACATAGATGAATTAACAGCTGATAGACTGACCGAGGGAGAGACAGAAAACAGCACCGGAACATGGATCCAGTTCGTTTTATTCAAATAAAACACAATTTCTCTGCGTGTGAGAGAGAGAGAGATAAAGTTTGTGTGTGTGTGAGAGAGGGAGTATGTGTGTGTTGGGAGAGAGATGTGTTGATATCTGTGATATTCAGCTCTCGCTCTTGTATGTAAACTCTGTCCTCGTCTATTTATTACAGAAGAGCTTCAAAAAGTCTTGTTGGAACAGATAGATCTGAGGCGGAGGTTAGAGCAGCAATTTCAGGCACTCAGAGGAGCAAACCCCTTCACTGTTGTCAGTAAGCAATTATTATTGTCATTATTAACCCCTCCCTGACTCACCCCACCCTCACCCCGGCACGAACGCACCCTGGCTGTATTTTAATTCCCAGTTTCTGAGTCAGCGTCAGATGGTCTGACACAGTCCAGGTCACAGCGAATGTCTGGGGTGGTGTAACCTGACCCCAAACACACACACCCGCACACATCCACACAAACAGACGCACACACACACACACCCCCCACACACACTCCCAATGAAACACACACCGCAGACACACACACCGCCCACACACCCACCCCACCCGCACACACACACACACACATTCACACCCCACCCGCGCACACACACACACGCAAATACACACACAGCAGCAGGGCTAGAACCAGGAAATCACCCCATTAAAACATCTGTCGAACAGTTTGCTCTTTAAGTCTGGATTTCATTCTACAGCACACACGTACACAAAATATTAGATATGTACATATAGATTACACGTGTACATATAGATCACATGTGTTCACATACATTACATGTGCTCACATAGGTTACACATGACACATGTGTAATTTCACGTGTACTGGAATAAACAGCCTGGCTCAGGCAGACATGATGGGGCAGAATTGTAGATCATTCCACCTTCAATAATAAAATTGCATTAAAACCGATCATCAGTGGGTAACCGAACAGTCAAATCGATGTGTAGGGAGATGGGGAGGATAAAAGCCCAATTAATGTTTGCAAAATCTATGTGAGATGATCAAGAATGTTTCCGTTGAAAGCATTTTTACATTATTGTTCAAAAAAAAAACAAATCAACAGAGTTTTTCCTCCTCAGGTACAAGACTCCTGGCAGATCTGACCGGTGTTTTTTTTTTCTCTCCTCTTGTTTTTTTCCCACTTATTGTTTAAAACCAGATAATTTTCACCATCAGATGAAGAGGGAGCTGTCATACAGAGAGGAGGTAACCCAGCAGTTACAGATGGTAAGGAAATACTCTACACCAGTCATCTCAGGAGTGGCTTTGACTGGTCGCGGAGAAAGCAGCCCGTGTAATAATAGCTTTAACAATAATCCGTGTATTTAATACATAAATAAATAATCCTTGCATTTGATATAGCGCCTTATTATGTCATTGAGACATCTTAAAGCGCTGCACAGTGTACGTACTGTGGAGTGAATTCACTATATTTTGGGGAGAAAATGCAAGGACTGTGTATTTATTAATTGATATATCACCTTTCACTGGGAGAGTGTTTCAGCGAGCGATGATTCTAGGATTTCCAGTGCTGTACTGAGTTTTTTGGGCAACTAATTTGCGCAAAGCCGTGGCACAAACAGCCCTGGAGTGAGTGACCAATTTTATTTGGGGGATACTGGGAGAGAGAGAAAAACACCTTTCTCTGTTCGAATAGTGCCGTGGGATCTTAACATCCGGGCAGACAGGACCTCGGTTTAACATCTCACCTGAAGGACGGCACCTTTGACAATGTAGCACGTACCCAGCATTGCATTCAGCTTAGACGATGTGATTCAAAGTCCCGATGTGGGGCTTGAACCCGCAAACTTCTGACTCAGAGGCGCGAGAGAGAGAGAGAGAGAGAGAGAGAGCGCTACAGACTGACACACTGTCCCAGCATTTGTTTTAAACTTCGATGTTCATTCCAGAGCTCCCCCCTTGATGAAGACACAAACATTTCCTATTTAGAAACTGAGTAATATAAGAATGGTTGCTTTTGTCCAGGGAGAGAGAGCTTTTTTGGAGTCCAGTAGCTCAGTGGTTAGAGCACTCGCTTTGCAAGTGAGAGACCTAAGTTCAATTCCAGGCAGAGGGCGAAACCTTGGGCAAGTTTCCTTACTCCACACAGAGCCTAATAATAATCCCTCCAAAACCAAAAACAATAATAAAAATTGGTCATTTTCAATCTACGACTGTTTGTGGGACATTGCTGTGCGCAATTGGCTGCCGCGTTCGCCCACAAATATACAGTCAATTCACTTTACAGTGTGTTCTGTGAAGCGCTTTGGGACGTCCTCCTGACGTGAAAAGCGCTATATCAAATGCAAGGATTATTATTATTATTATTTTTTGTGGAGTCCAACAGGGTAGTGGTTAACACGCGACTTGCAAGTGAGAGGACACGTGTTCGATTCCCGGCAGTGAGTCGGAACCGGATTGTTAGTCGATTGGCGGATCGCTCTTCTGGGGTTAATAATCCCTTTTAAAAAAAAAGTATTTGGTCACGTAATCCGCGGCTGTTTGTGGGACGCTGCTGTGCGCAATTGGCTGCCGCGTTTCGCCCACAAAATATAGTCAATTCACTTTACAGTATATTCTGCGAAGCGCTTTGAGACGACAACAACAACACAATTCTATTTGTTTAGCGCCTTTCACGTCGGGAGGACGTCCCAAGGCACTGGGTCGCGTGTTAAAACACTGTATCAAATGCAAAGATTATTATTATTATTATTATTGCCTTTTCTATCTCCTACAGCCATTTCACCATCCAACTGTCTCTCTGTCTCTCTATCATTTTCCTCTCCCTCTTCGATCTCTCTCCTTTACAGCAAAATCTGTGAAGCGCTTTGAGACGTCTCGATGACGTGACAAGGCGCTGTATCAAGTGCGAGGATTATTATTATTTATCTGCCGTTCCATTAACTATCTCTCTCTGTCTGTCTCCTCTCCTCTCACAGTTCTCTCCCTCTCTGATCCCAGTCTCTTTCTGTCTCTTTCTGATCAGTTTTCCTTCTCTTTTCCATGGGATATTGTACTCGTCATTATAATAATAATTGTTGAATTGACTGTGTATTTTGTGGGCGAAACACGGCAGCCAATTGCGCGCAGCAGCGTCCCACAAACAGTCGCGGATTGAAGTGACCAATTTATTCTTTTGGATCTATTTAATATGTATCTGCTTTGCTGTTTGTTATCTGTCAGACCATTTCGCGTTTAAGTGCAAGACCTTAAAGAAACATCCAAGCGGAAAAAGTATTTTTATGTTGCCTTTATTTTTGTGTACGTACTGGGGGAATTTTACACCAGAAAGGCAATGGAAATGGCAGCTTCAAAACCTTCCCCGATCACGTGGTGCCACCCAGTGTCACAAATTCAAATAGCGCCAAAATACCGATACCAAAAGGCCTCGAAGGCCCTCACAGGGAATTGATGTCAAGGCCCGTGAGAGATTGTGGCACTTGCACAACAGCAACAGTGGCCAAAAGGACCAGTTTATCAGGGGATTGGCGGCCAGGGACACACCGCAGGATCTTTAAGGTCCACCTGAGGACCTTGGTTGAACCTCTCATCCGAAGATCGGAGTCACTGACAAGGCCGGGTTCCCCCCAGCGCTGCACTGGGGCGTCAGTCTGGACCGTGTCGGTTCGAAGACACCGGGCCCTGGGGTTTAGATCAGGACGGAAGACAAAACGACAACTTGCATTTATATTGCGCCCTTCGCGTCTCTTCGCTCTGAGGCGCCATGGAGGGCGCTATATAAATCCAAGTTGTTGTTGTTGTTGTTGTCTTCCTCTTCAACTGCTTACGGGCACCTCCTCCCTCCCCGCCGCTTGGGGTCAGGCTCCACCGCTGTTAAGCGCTCCAAGGCGCTATCCCGTCTGATTGGCGCTATATAAATGCAACTTATTGTTGTTTGAACCCACACTCAACAACAACAACATTACCTCTGCACACAGCGCCTTTCACATCGGCTTGTCGTCCAGAGCAGCTGGACAATCAGTGCTTCGGATCCGAGCTGGGGGTCGGGGAGGGCGCGGGGCAGGGGTTGGGGGAAGGGGAAAGAGGGGGTGATCTTCTGACTTAGTACCAACTGCTACCAACTGAGCCACAGTGTCACATCAAGATAAAGATGGGATCATTTCAGCATAAAGGGGACCATTCAGTCCACAGTTCCCTACTCTTCTAAACCGCCCTTTTATCAATTATAATTAATTGCCTGACAAATGCGGAAACCCATCACCATACTGAAGAGTATCCAAACCACAAAGTCCTGTCACCCCAATGTTTTGTTTTCTACCCTGAAACAACTGACCAACAACTGAAACACGTGGAAGAATGACGATGATGGTATTTAGAAGCACTTCACTGAATTCAGGACAAGTGTTTTAACTGTATATAGATGGGGGTGAGTGAGTGAGTGAGTGCCATCATTTTCATGGCAAATAATGATCCATCACCAAGTTCAGTGCTTCATCTCTCGTAACATGGATGGAGTCAGTGAGGAGGAAGTTACTGGTGTCAGACATTGTTACCCTCGACTCATTTGCAACAGGAAATACACATTCATTGTAAGAGAGAGAGAGAGAGGGTAATAATCCCCTCGAAAAATAATAATAATTTGGTCACTCAATCCAGGCAATTGTCTGCTGTGTTTTTCCCACAAAATATACACTCCGCAGTATATTCTGTGAAGTGATTTGTACATCTCGCAAACGTGATAAGTCGCTATAGAAAATGCAAAGATTATTATTAATAATATATAATAATAATCCTTGCATTTGATATAGCGCTTTTCACATCTTTTAGACGTCCCAAAGCGCTTCACAGAATATACCATAAAGTGAATTGACTGTATATTTGTGGGCGAACGCGGCAGCCAATTGCGCACAGCAATGTCCCACAAACAGTCGTAGATTGAAAATCACCAATTTATTATTGTTTTGGTTTTGGAGGGATTATTATTAGGCTCTGTGTGGAGTAAGGAAACTTGCCCAAGGTTTCGCCCTCTGCCTGGAATTGAACCCCAGGTGTCTCGCTTGCAAAGCGAGTGCTCTAACCACTGCGCTCCAGGACTCCACTAGTGCCATACCTCCTGATCAGGCAGTCAGGAGTTTGGTTTAACATCTCATCGAATAGAGCAACCCTCCCCCAGCACTGCACTGGAATGTCAGCCTTGGACTGTGAGTTCAAAGTCCTAACGTAGTGTGTGAATCCACAACGTGTGAGACGTCTCAAGCCCTGACCTGAATCTATGAGATGTTAAACTGGAGTCTTGTCTTTACCTATTCAACAGCAGCACATCAGAGGGCTGTGCGCGTTCAAGATTTTGTGACGCAATTGGAAAAGAGAAGGCAGTTTCTCTCTCTCTCTCTCTCTCTCTCTCTCCCCCCCGGTGTCCTGGCTAACAATCCCCCCCCAGATAAATTTGGTCACTCACTCCTTGGCTGTTCGTGGGGCACTGACTGCTGTGTGCAAATTGGCTGTAGCGCTTTGTCCACAAAATCTACACGATCACACTCACTGTCGAGTCTATCCTGTGAAGGGCTTTTAGCCACCTCGATGACGTGCTGAGGCGCCGTATGAAAATACAAGGGTTGTTATTATATTATTGGTATCGGGGAGCTTCTCAGATGACAGCTCACCGCAGTGCGGAGAATGCAGTGTGTGTAACCCTGGCGTCTCTCCCGATCCCCCCAGATCCCGTACACAGCCGGCCTGGGGAGGAAGGAGAAACTCAACTCACAGCTCAACAAAAGCTAAAAGGTAAGATGGGCGCAAAGGTAAGGTTGCCAACTCTGGCTGGACGTCCTGTGGGACGGATGGGTGCTGAGCTGCGTTGCTGGGAAGCTACAGGGAGATCCTGGTACCTGCCGTCTACCTCGTGAGGCTCAAACCCTCGCTCGTCGGATGTTGAACGACCCACTAGCAACTGTCCTCCTTGGGGGGAGGAAAGTGGAGGGGGTCTCCTCGGAGCTGAACAGGCTCCAAGGTGACACATTTGGCAATGGAAAGTCAGAATCAAGCCCGCCCTTGTTCTAGCTGGACAAGCAGCGGGAAAGCTTGCCAGACAGTTATAAAGTGAGACAGCACTTTGAGGGAGGGTCAGCCAACTTAGTCAATGGTCATCAGGAGCATGGCCTCTTCAGCCCACCACATAGCAGTGTGTTGTTGTTGTTGTCAGAGAGGACCTTATGCTTAGACTCCAGCAGTTTCCCCAGCGTAAACTCTGGGTTCCCTAAGCCTTGGCTCTTGCCAACCTACGCCTAATGCTTTCCGGAACTAGGTAAGCAGGGATGCATCCCTCCAGGGAGAGAGAGAGCGCATTCCAATACAACAATCTATCTCTGAGATTTCTGCCGGGGAAATGGGGAACCAGTGGGTCCGGGCGAGGATGGGGGTGATTGGATGGGGCGGGAGAGGACACCAGCTGCAGAGTTCTGGATGTGTAGGGAGGAGATAGTGGTGATATGAATTGACGGCTGTTTCTCTGGTGCCAGGCAGAGGACACACATCGCCGTGCTCAGCAACACCTTGTTTATAAGACACCGGCCTCTTGGGCAAGTCTCCAACTTGTGCCCACGGCAACCAACCCGAGTGACAGACGGCCGAGGGCATTGAAGCACAAAGACATCGAAATCAGCAGCAAAAATATCCAAATCAAGCAGAAATCATCGATTCTCCCCCAAATAATCCCCTCCAAATAAACCCCACCTTGTACCTGTTAGTTCACATGTTGTTAGTAGCTGAGAAACTACCGCAGACCGGTTCACCCACCGGTAGGTACATCATTTGTCATGTGAAGATTCCTGGTGAGAACATGCTAGAGACATTGGTGAGAACATGCTAAGGACGTGGGTGAGAACACGCTCAGTACATGGGCAACCCCCGTTAAGGTGACCATTGAAAACATGCTAAGACTATGGGTGAGAACATGCTAAGGACACTGATGAGAACATGCGTGGCCATCGAGAACATGCTAAGAACATGGGTGGGCCCATCATAAGGAGGACATTGTTTCGTGTCATCTGCCACCGCCACAACATGTGGACAAGGAGCGAGATAATCTTGGAGGCAAGCACACCCCCAGGCTCCTCTTCTACACCACTAACCACCTCCTCCATCCTCTCCTCCCTCCCCACCTCCGCCTCACTCCCCGACCCTCGCTATTCACCCTCCCCCTATCCCCTCACCTCCATCACCTCAAAAATTAAGCCCACCACCTGCTCCCTCGACCCTCCCCACCCCAATCCTCACCTCCCAGCTCCACTCCTGGTCCCCTCTTCTAACCAACATCATCAACCTCTGGCATTGTTCCCANCCCCCCACCTAAAAACAGATGTCATCACCCCCCTCCTCAAAAACCTACCCTGGACACTACATCACTACTCTTCAGCTATCGTTCCATCTCCAACCTCACATTTCTCTTGAAGGCTCTGGAACGAGTTGTGTCCAGCTTCGCTCTTTCCTCTCCCGCCATTCCCTCTATGAACCCCTCCAGTCGGGTTTCCTGCCCTTACCTGGTTCAAATCCTATCTCTCCCACCATCTCCACTTTGTCTCCACTAATGGCTTCTCCTCCAGCCCCCGCACCATCACGTGTGGCGTCCCTCAGGGCTCTGTCCTTTGTCCCCTCTTCAACATTTACATGCTCTGTCTTGGTGACGTCATCCGTAGTCATGGTGTCAACTTCCACATGTATGCAGATAGCACTCTACCTCTCCGCCCCCACCCTCGACTCCAGGACCACTGCTGTCCTGACAGAATGTCTGTCGGACATCAAGTCCTGGATGAGAGCTAACTTCCTCCAGTTGAATGTCAACAAGACCGAGGCTTTCCTGCTTGATTCCCATCAGCATCTCCATCCCTCTGGTGCTGAAATCGTTCATGGATGCACACTACACCTCAAGGAGCCAATACAGACCTCCGTGTCCTGTTTGACCCTCAACTGTCCTTCGTACCCCATATCTGTGCCATGACCCGCTCTGCTTTTCTCCACCTCCGAAATATTGCCCGGCTCTGCCACTGTCTTTCACTGCAGGCCACCGAAACCTTCATCCATGCATTCATCAAATCCAACTCCCTTCTGGTCGGTCTCCCCAACTCCTCCCTCCACAAGCTGCAGATCATCCCTGTCCTCTCCCGCATCAACTTCTGCAACTCTATCACTCCCATCCTTGCCCGACTCCACTGGCTTCCCATCACACAGAGGATACAGTTCAAGATCCTGGTCCTCACCTTCAAAGCCGTCCCAGGCCTTGCTCCCCCTCTGTGACCTTCTAACCCCCTACTAACCTCTCCACTCCGGCCTGCTTCACATCCCTTGCCTTCCCCACCATTGGTGGACGGGCCTTCAGCCTCTCTGCCCCCACCCTCTGGAACTCCATCACACAGTCCCTCCACCTCACCCTCTCCCTTGCCTCCTTCAAGATCCTCCTCTTCGATCATGCCTTCGATCACCCTCCTCTTCCCGCCCTCCCCCAACCCGATCCCAACCACCAGCTCGGCTGTGGATCCCTGACTGTCCAGCGCCTTAGGACATCCTCCTGATATGAAAGGCGCTACACAAATGTGCAAAGGGCCACCAAGAAGCTGCTTGTCACCTGTCGTCTCACCCAGCAAATCCTCCCGGGACAAACACAACACCAACCAGACACCAACCCCAACCCCCAAACCCCAACCTCCCCAATCCCAACCCCAGTCCCAACCCCAATCTGGAGGAAGAAACCCTTCAATTTCAGTCCAGTCCCGCTTTTGCCTGCTTTTAAATTACTATCCCCTTAAATAAGAATATCCTTTATCACTTGAAATATTTTGGCTTTAAATATTGCGTGTACTAATTATTTACTGTTATTATTAAAATGTATTTACATCCCCCTTTGTGTCACCCTCTTACTTGCTGCGAGTCTCTCTCTCCTTCGCTCTCTCTCTCTCTCTCGTTGCATGACACAGTCTCTGAACTTCTCTGCTCTTTTGAAGAGCCACCCTTTGAGTCCCATTTACCTAACGTCCTATTCCCACCACCACACCAATGACTCCTGGAAGGGCAAACCAGTCACTGGGAGCAGGGAATCCTCCTACTCAGCTCCTGCCAACCCTGCAAGCCAAAGCCCTAACAGGTACGGTGGTCCTAGCTGGACAAGCAGTGGACGTTGGATACTCGTAAGCAGGGTGATGGATTTCCGCATGTATCAGAGACCCGGTTGACCAAAAAAGTAAAGGCTCCTTTATTGATATCTATCCAGTTCCTTTGTGAAAGCTGATATGGTTCCTGCCCCAAACACTGCTCCCAGACCAGGTGGGTTTCAGCCCTGACTCCGTGGAACTGGAGCTCACAGTCCGGGCTGACCCTCCAGTGCGGTGCTAGGGGGAGCGTTGCTTTGTTGGAGATGTTAAATGGGGTTCCCAGGTTCAGTGTCAAACCCTCCGAGTCGCCAGCCCACTTAATGTTTTGTTGTCATTAAGTGAAACACACTGGACGAGCGATGTTTCTTCGGGTTATATCTGCTCGGAGGGAGCTTTCTCCTCGTTTCATTTCTACTTGGAGACGTCGTCAGACGGGAACACACCAATGGGATCAGCCAAGGGATAGGGAGTGTTTCAGCTGTCAGGTGGCCAGTGGGTCAACCCGGCTCAGTCGCTCTCCCCCCACCCCACTCCCACGCTGTATTGTCAGAGGAACTGTGATTCGGATCAGACGTTTAACTGAGATTTATCGGTACCTGTTCAGATAGCACCTCCCTATGTCTCTGATACCCAGTCAATTCACTTTACAGTATATTCTGTGAAGCGCTGTGAGCTGCCTCGAAGACGCGATAAGGCACAATATCAAATGTAAGATAAGGCACCCTCTCCAATGCCTTGACATCCTTCCTAAAGTGTGGGGCCCAGAACTGAACACAGTCTCTATCTGAGGCCTAATCAGTGTTTTATATAAAGGTTCATCATAACTTCCTGACATTTGTATTCTATGACCCTATTTATAAAGCCGAGTATTCCGTATGATTTTTTTAACGGCTTTATTTATCTGTCCTGCCACCTGCAAAGATTTATGTACTTGTACTTATATGAACCCCCAGGTCTCTCTGTTCCTTCACCCCCTTTAAGATTCTACCATCAGCTTATGTTGCCTCTCCTCACTCCTCCTCCCAAAAAGCATCATTTCGCATTTATCCACATTAAACTTTGTCTGCCATGTATCTGCCCATTTTACCAGTCTGTCTATATCCTCTTGCATTCTGCTACTATCCTCCTCACTATTCACTACTTTTCCAAGGTTAGTATCATCTGCAAACTTGGAAATTGTCCTCCCTGTACCCAAGTCCAGGTACATAATATAGATCAAAAACAGCAGTGGTCCCAATACCGACCCCCGGGGGGACACCACTGCACACTTCCCTTCAGTCAGAAAAACAACTGTTCTCCACACACTGCTTTTGGTCTCCCATCCAGTTCTGTATCCGCTGCCACTGTCCCTTTAATACCGTGGGCTTCTACTTTGCTTACAAGTCTCTTATGTGGCACTTTATCAAACTGGACACAGTACTCTTAAGTATGGTCTCACGAATGATTTATACAGCGGCAGGAATGCCCCACTATTTTGGCTGCTGTTGATCTTTTGATACATCCCATCATCTGGTTTGCTTTACTTATTGCCCCAGAGGATTGTCGGGAGAGCTTCAATTTATTGTCAAGTTGTATATAAGTGCAAGTTCTTGTTGTTGTTTCTTACCGCTCTGCTCGCCCTCTCCACATTGGCTAACTCAATCTTGCTCTGTGTTTCCCATCACGGACTGAGCCTGGAACGCTCTACTGATCCTGTCCATGTCAAGCTCCGAAATATTGTCAACATTTACTTCACGGCTGTTTGTGGGACGTTGCTACAAATACAGTCACTGCGCTTTGCTCCGTACCCCCATCACCCCAGTCCTTGCCAGGCTCCACCGGCTCCCAATCACCGAACGGTTCGATTTCAAGATCCTCTCACTCGTTTTCAAATCCCTTCATGTCCCCGCACCTCCCTACAACCTCCGACTGCTTACCCCACCCACTCCCCCCACTCCACTAATCGCTGCCTCCGCTCGGCCACTTCCGGCCTCCTATTTGTCCCTCGTGTCCTCCATTGCACCATCGGTGGCTACGCCTTCAGGCACTACGCCCCGAAACTCTGGAACTCTCTCCCTCAATCCCTCCGTCTCGCCCCCTTCCCTCCCTCCCCATCTAAAGACCTTCCTCTTTGATCGCGCTTAAGGCCACATCACCCCACCCCCCCCCCCACCACCCGGTTCAGCGTTGCGCTCCGGGACGCTACCCTGTGTGAAGGGCTGCATATAAACGCAAGTTGTTGTTGTTGCAGTATATCCTGTGGACCTCTTGGGAGACCTTTGGACCATTTGAGGATTTAGGACACCCTCTGTCCTAGTTATTGGTCTCTCGCTGCCACCTTGCGGCGATGATGGTGTAAGACAGCTGAGGATTCCATTCCCTCTCCTCCTTTCCATCCTCCCAGACCGGTTGAGGCAGAGAAAAACATCAAACATTCAGAGAAACCTCGATATTTTAAGCTCTTCTTTACAGCTCATTCTCGCTGTACGTAGCGTAACTCTCTCTCCCTCTCTCTCTCCCTCTCTCTGCAGTTTATTCTCTATTGTATATTTTTTGTGTCCGTGTCCTGTGCTCTCTCTGTACTTACTGTAATTCTCTGTGCTCTACTCCCCCTAATTATTTCGCCCACAAAATCCCCTTTACGGTATATCTTGTGAAGCGCTTTGGGACGTTATGATAAGACGTTATATCAAATGTAGCTAAATACAGCTCATTCTCTCTCTGTATCGTGCAGCGCACTCTGTCTCTCTGTACTTTATTTCTCTTTTATATATAGTGTATCTCTCAATTTTAATCCTCTCTGTACAATGTAACTCTCCATATATGTATGATTCTCTCTATATTTAGTGTAACTCTTATTTCTATACAATGTAACTCTCCCTCTCTCTATATACATATATATACACATATATACATATATACACACATATATACACACACACATATATACACACATATATACATATGTATACACATATATACACATATACACATATACACACATATATACACATATATACACACGTATATACACACGTATATACACACACATATATACATATGTATACATATATATACACATATACACACATATACACATATACACACATATATACATATATATACACACGTATATACACACGTATACACACACACATACACATATATATACATATATACACACATATACATATATACACACATATATATATGATTCTCTCTGTGTATAGTGTATCTCTGTGTATTTTATTGTCTCTGTACACTGTGACTCTCTGAGCTGAGCTGTGCTGTCAGTGTGTCCCTGACTGACTGTGTGTGGGTACACACACACACACACACACGCGGTTGGGGTGAGCTCAGGGGCAGTAGTTTGGGGCAGTGGTTTTGAGTTCCGCGTTGCGGGGCTCTGAGCCTCGTGTCCGCGCTGAGCCGCCGTCCCGGCCCCGCCCCCTGCCCTCAGGCCCCGCCCCCCAGGCCCCGCCCCCCCGCCGCCATCATGGCGCTGACGCTTTACTCGCTGCTCCAGGCCGCGCTGCTCTGTGTGAACGCCGTGGCCGTACTGCACGAGGAGCGCTTCCTCAACAAGAGTGAGTTCACCGGGAGCCGCGTCGGGGCTCAAAAGAAAGAAAAAAATAAAAAAAAAACCGCCGCCGCCGCCGCTTAAAGGGCCGGAGCGGCCCTGTGTTTTTCGTCGGCCGCGAAAAAAAAGCGCGTCGGTGCCCTTAAAGGGGAAGTGGCGTTGTTAAAGGGGAGGGCGCAGGGACTTTATTGGCGGATATCTCTGTCCAGGACACAGGGGAGTGGCGGTTGTTGGGGTCCAGACCCCTTGTGTCTGTTGACTGGTGTTTAATTGTCTTTTTTTAACCTGTTTATTTTATTTCTGGCTGATATATACTTTCTTCCACCCCCACCCCCCCCCCCCATCGCCCCCAATCCCCCCCAGAGTCTGACCGTGGCCGTGGCCGGGTCTCGCCTCTCGAGTCAGGAGGTTGTGGGGTTCGAGTCTCCACCTCTCGGATCGTGAGCCGACGGCGCAGAGACGCCGTCCTTCAGCTGAGACGTTAAGCCGAGCTCCCGCCCGTGCCCTGGTCAGGCGGACGTTGAGGATCCCGCGACGCTATTGGGAGAGAGATGGGAGTTTCTTTCTCCCTGGTGTCCTCGCCGACAATTCCCCCCCCTCTCCCCTCCCCCCCCCCCCCCCCCCACCCCACCCCGAAATACAATTGGTGGCTCGGCTCGCGGCAGTTTCAGGCACGTTGCTGTGTGCAAATTGCGCTGCTGTGTTTTCCTGCAAAGGCTCTTTGAGACACTCTCATGCGTTGTCACGGCTTAACCCGAACGCTTTATGTACACGTGGAGACCTGTAGCGTAGTGGTTACAGCGCTCGCCTCGAAAGCACGAGGACCTGAGTGCAGTTCCCAGGCACGGGCGAAACCTTAGGCAAGTTTCTTTTCTCCACGCTCCTCTGCTTACTTAGCAGTAAGCAAGAATCCGCTTGTTAGTCGAGTAGCAGATCGCTTTCCGTGTGTAATAATCTCCCCCCCAAAAAAAACATTGATCACTCAATCCACGACTGGACACCGCTGTCTGCAATCGGCTGCGACGTTTCACCCAAAAGGCGCACCGTGAATCCACTTTACAGTATATTCTGTGAAGCGCTTTGTGACGTCTCCACGACATGATAAGGTGCTATTTCAAATGCAAGGATTATTATTATAATAAAAAACTACATGGATTCCCCTTCAATCGCTGTGTTTTGGTTGTGTTTTCATGTCCCAACAACTGCACGTAAAGAAAATTACCTTTAGTAATTTTAGTAATTTTTGGTGATGAATATAGTAAATTTGACAATTTCTTTTAGATATAATCAATTGCCATTTCACGTCGTCAACCTCTCAAAGGGCTTAAGGGGATTTCCCTGTGGGGTGTTGTGCCGTGTGTTTACAGGTGAACGCAGCAGCTAATTTGCACACAACCCATCTCACAAACAGCAGGAAAAGTGAATGAGCAATTTTACCTGGAGGATTGTTGACCTGGACACAAGGACAATTCCCTTACCCTCATGATCTCAAGTGTATTCCCTCTAGTTACTCACTCCATAGATGGAAATAGCTTCCCTCTATTTAGGCGATCGAAATCCCTGATCCTTTCAACTGTCACAGTTCTTTTAAGCATTCTGAGACGCCGCCTTCCGTGACGGGTGCTATTAGAAATGCAACTCGTCTCCTCTCGACCGACTCTGTTTGCAGTAAAAACAGGTACAATTTCTCCAGCCTCCTAACCCTAACCTGGTGAATCTATACTAATCCTTGCACTTTGATATAGTGCCTTACTACCTCGTTGAGACGTCTCAAAGCGCTTCACAGGATATACTGTAAAGTGTAGCGTAGTGACTGTGTATTTTGTGAGAGAAATGCAGCAGCCAATCGTCGAACAGCCCTGGGATCTTTAACATCAGGTGAACAGGCAGATTGGACCTCGGGTTTTAATGTTTCATCCGAAGGACGGCTCCTCCGACAATGTAACACCCCCCAATGATTGTATTGGAGTGTCTTCTTAGACGATGTGATTCTAAGTCCCGACGTGGGACTCGAGCCCACAGCCTTCTGACTCCAGAGGCGAGAGGGAGTGTTACCGCTGAGCCAGGCTGATACACTGAGTCTCCTCCTGAATCTCCTCTGTCGTCTCTCTCCCCCGCCTTCCCGCAGCGGAGAGGCTGTGTACTTCCTAACAAGCTAACTGGTTTCTCTCCCCGCAGTTGGCTGGGGCACTGACCAGAGTATCGGGGGATTCGGGGAGGAGCCGGGAATTAAATCGCAGCTGGTAAACCTCATCCGCTCCGTCCGGATGGTCATGAGACGTGAGTATTGAACTTTGACTGACTGTCCAGGGACCTTAGGACGTCCTCTGGACGTGAAAGGTTTCTTGTTTGTTGGGACTCTCCATACACGGACTGACTTAGCATCTTCCTGCTTCCAGAACTTTTTATTTCCTCCCTCCCCCCCCCCCCCCCCCTCCCATATCATCTATACGTTACGGTAAAGTTGTGAAAATTTCAATTTTTACCCCAAATTTACTGAAAACTTCAGAAAAAAATAGTGAAACCATGAAATCCCTGAAATTAGGAATCAGGAATTTCGTGAAAAAGTGATCCCAGCAGTGGCCGGGAATAGAGGAGATCCCAGGATTATCCTTTGGTGTTGTTATTAATAGAGATTTAGACACTGACAAGATAGTAGTGCAGGCCTTGTGTTAACAAATGAACATAATAATAATAATAATAACAATAATAATATTAAGCTTTGACTCATCAGTGAATGAAATGTCACCGGAAATTTATGGTGAATAAAATACACCTTTTCACAATGTGCTATTTATCTGTTGTTAATGCCAACAAATGTCAATGTGAGGCTGTCAATGTGATAAAATGATCACTTTTTCCCGAAATCCCTGACTCCTAATTTCAGTGGGTTTCACAATCATACTGTGACATGAATCTACGTACAGTGAACTCCTGATACCCCGACCCTGGCTTAACGTGTCGCTACCATTTAAGTCATCGCTCTGTCAATAGCCCGTTTATACACGTGCCACAATCTGTCTCTGGCACTCTCAGTTTGGTTTGGAGACTCTGAAGCCCGGTGGCAGGTTTCCGCATGTGTCAGACCCCCGGCTGAAGAGAAGGGGTTTTGAGACGCACACGGGGCGAAGGGACTTCCAAAAGGTGGGGGGGTGGCGATCTTTGACTGGGCTTTGGGTCATCTTTCCCTGGCGCACCCCCAACTCGCGTGCAACTGTCGAGCCCTTGAGACGTCCTCCCGTGGGGCTGTGTTGTGTGTTGTATTGAAACTGATCCTGCCTTCTCTTCCTCCCCGCAGTTCCTCTGATCGTGGTGAACTCCATCACCATCGTGTTACTGCTGCTGTTCGGATGACGGACGACGGGGGGGGGAAAGAACTTCTTAAAGGGGAGGGAGGGGGGGGAAAGGGACAAGGTCGCCATTGAAGAACGTCTTACCCTACAGCCCGAGTCACCGATGAGGTAGCGAAACAAGCGGAGATCTGGGCATGTCCTGCTCTTAGCCCAACAGCCTCTCTCCTCTCCTCTCTCTCTCTCTCTCCCTCCTCTCTCTCTTGCTCTCTTTCTCTCACAGACAGTTATCTTCAGGAGGTTTTTATTGTAAGATTACAAGCCGGAGCCTTCGTTCTTTTGCTTTCGCTTTTATTTTTTGTTTCTCTCCGTTCAATTAATTTGCGGGTTCAACACGGGGAGTGTCTGGCTTGTGCGTCTCTCCCTCTGACTCGGCCATAGAACAGTGGCAACCGTTTTGTTTGGGAATAAAGAAAAATGTTTCACAGCCGTCCTGCGGTTTGTTGGTGTGACTCAGCAGACCTGGCGAGAGAGACAGAGAGAGGGAGGGAGACAGAGAGAGGGAGTAGGGAGCGAGGGTGTAAAGGGAGAGGGATAGGTTAGGAGAGGAGAAGGGTTCAAAGTCTCCAAACCAGACAGATTACCAATCTGTGTCACCTCTACAAGGAATTTTTTTGCGTGCATGGAATGGAGACCGAGAGAGACAGAAATAGAGCGGGGAGAGAGATAGAGAGGAGGGGGTGAGAGAGACGGACACCGAGAGAAAGGGGAGTGAGACAGACCGAGAGAGAGAGCGGCGGGGGGGGGGGGAGAGAGACACAGATAGAGTGGCAAGAGATGGGGTGAGGAGAGAGAGAGAGAGAGACATAGTGTGTGGAGGGGGAGAGCGGAGAGAGAGAGAGAGACAGAGTGAGGGGAGAGAGCAAGAGGAGAGCGAGAGCGGGGAAACGATGTGTGGAAGGGGAGGGGTGGGAGTGGGGAGAGGGACAAAGAGAGTGAGCGAGCGCGGACAGGAAGAGAGCAGGGAGAGAGTCGTGATGCTGTTACGATATCTGATAAGTCTTAGAGGTGAGAGAGCTACCACTGAGTCGGGCCAATCAACAACACAACAGGAGCAATTGCGTTCATACAGTGCCTTTCACGTCAGGAGGACCCACGACCCTGGACGATGAGGGTTTCGCACCCGAACTGTGGATTGGGATCGGGTGGGGAGGGGTGGGGGGTAGCAAGGGGGGGAGAAAGATGACCGAAAGTGCGGTCGAAGAGGAAGGTCTTAAGATGGGCCTTGAAGGAGGCAAAGGAGGGGGTGAGGCAGAGGGGCTCAGGGATGCAATTCCAGAGGGTGGGGGCAGAGAGTCTGAAGCTGATAGTGGGGCAGACTGGGCGGGGAAAAAAAGAGTGAGAGAGAGATGGACAGATAGAGCGAGGAGAGAGAGCGGGGAAAGAGACGAAGAGACAGACGAGAGTGGGGAGAGAGAATCAGAGTGGTGGGAAAGAGAGAGAGAGAGACGGAGAGGTTGCAGAATGAAGGGAGAGGACAGGTTGGTGAATCACAACGGTGAATCGTGCCGTTGAGACGTCTCCAGGTGCTTCACAGGAGTCGCTGCAAAGCGGCCGGAATAAGCCCAGCATTTGGAAATAGCATCTTATCGCTTTGCCGAGGGGTCTCCAGGGACTGTAAGGGCTAAATAAACTTGTGACCCTGGGGGTGAAGTCAGGACCAACACAAATTCTTCAATCAATTGATATTTATTCATACAAATGAGTAAAAAAATGACATTTCATCAAATCAAATGAATGCTGACGACAGGTTAGTAAAGTTCACCCAATGGGTTGATGGGATCAATGTGGGGCTTTGATGTAGGAATTGTCTTGTTAACGTGCAGTGATCCATGTTGGTTGGACTATATCCCTCTTCCCTCCAGATTGGCTGTGGGGAGTGAGTCCATTCTCTCTTCTCCGATATAAGCCCAAATCTCTGCCTCTTTCTCCCTTTTTGGTCCCAGACACCAGTCTGTTCAATGTCATGTTAGAAACACCGACTGCAAACACAGGACAAACTTGATCAAAATTCCACCCGACTGAACCCAAACCAATCTATTGTTGGGCAAACCTTCAGCCACTGTCCACGAGGGTCTTCACACCCAAACCCAACCCACACACACCCAGACACACACTGACAGACACACACACACACTGACAGAGCATAGACACACACACAACAAACACACACCGACACACACACACACACTGACAGGGCATAGACACACTCACACAAACAGACACACAGGTATACACACACAGACGCACACAGACACCCACACGGCTGGAATCCTCGTACCTTCAGCCACTACACCCGAAACTCTGGAACTCTCCCCCTCAACCCCTCGCCCCCTCCTTCCCCATCTTCAGGTCACGACTCGAGTGGCCACCGATTTGTAGACAAGTGAGAGGTTCTTGAACTCGATCTGATCTGTGAGATAACAGACACCACGACAGAGACACACAGAGACAGAGAGAGACACACAGACAGACACACATGTAGAGAGAGACACATACACACAGAGAGACACACACACAGAGATACACAGAGAGAGAACACACACACAAAGTACGATGTATACGGAGACACACACACACACAGACATAACCACACAGACAGAGACATACACACACAGAGATATAAACGGAGACACACACACACACAGAAGTACACACACACAGACAGACACCCACACACTCCCACACTGACTCCCACTCCCTTACCGGGTTAATCAGCTGTTGGAGTCTCTCATTAACGCCGTTGATGTCAAACTCTTCAAATCTGTTGATCTCAAATGTTTCAAACCTGCAGTGAAACTTGGCTCAGGTTTGGCGGTGCCCAGGAATCCAACCCTGGTCCTCTGGCTTGCGGGGCGAGTGCTCTAACCACTACACCACAGGACTCCACAGGAACCTTTTCCATCTGGAAATAGAAATCCTTGTCTGCACCGCCTGAAAGAGGATAAGGCCGAGTTACCACACAAGACATCACCAGAGAGATTCGGGAGGAAAAGGCCTTTGGGCCCATTTGATTGCAAACTTCCCCAACGTCAGCCCATCACAGCATCTCAACTGGTTTGGGGATCGAGTCCCGGCTCAACCTTAGTGGATCCCCTCCACTGAGAGGGTGAGAGAGAGGTGAGAGAGAGAGAGAGAGGGTGAGAGATAGAGAGAGAGAGAGAGGGGGAGAGAGAGAGAGAGAGAGAGGGAACCATTGCCACGTTTATGATGTTCCATAACAGACAGTTCAATATCTCATCCAAATGCCGTCTCCGTCCATGTTGTGGTTCTGGTAGAAATCACTGCGCTCCTCCTCCTGCTCCTTCATGTCCTCCTCCTGCTCCAGTTTGAACACGAGCTGCAACGGGACAGTGAGGGGGGAAATCCCCGTACCCTCCGCTCCCCCAGCGCCGGCCGCGCTTTCAGCCATTATGCCCCGAAACTCTGGAACTCTCTCCCCCAACACTTGTCCCCTCCGACCCCATCTTCAGGGGCTCCTCGAGTGGCTGAAGCCCGTGGCCACTGATCAGCACCAGACACACAGAGAGAGACACACACACACATACACACACAGACACACACACAGACACACACACACAGACACACACACAGACACACAAACACACACACAGACACACACACAAACAGACATACAAACACAGACATAAACACACAGACACACGTACACACACACACACACACAAACAGACATACAAACACAGACCTACAGATGCACATACAACAACAACAACAACAACAAGATTCCATTTATAAAGTGCCTTTCACGTCAGGTGGACGTCCCGAGGCGCTGCACAGTTGGGTCAGGACCCGAGCATTGGGGGGAAATGGTCAGGGTGAGGGGAGGGAAGGGAGGGAGCGAGGAGGGGGAAATGGTCAGGGTGAGGGGAGGGAAGGGAGGGAGCGAGGAGGGGGGAAATGGTCAGGGTGAGGAGAGGGAAGGGAGGGAGCGAGGAGGGGGGAAATGGTCAGGGTGAGGGGAGGGAAGGGAGGGAGCGAGGAGGGAGTAGAGAGTCGAGAGGAGAGCTGAAGGCTGAAGGTCAAAGAGAAAGGTCTTGAGACCGGCCTTGAAGGAGGAAAGGGAGGAGGCGGCGAAGGCACTGGGGATGGAGTTCCAGAGCCTCGGGGCTGAGAGGCTGAAGGCCCGACCACCGATGGTAGGGCGGTTGGGGCGGGGGATGTGGAGCAGACCGGAGCCAGAGGAACGGAGGGTACGGGCAGGTAGGGAGGGGGATAGTAGGTCGGAGAGGTAGGAGGAGCGAGGCCGGGAATGGCCTTGTAGGTGAGGATGAGGATCTTGAAATCAAATACATACAGACACACACAGACACACACTCAGAGACAAACACACAGACGTACACACACACACAGACATACACACATACAAACACAGTGACACACACACAGACACACGCAGACACGCAGGCGCACACATACAGACCCACACAGATGCACACACACAGACACGCGCTCAAACAGACCCACCCCCACAGAGACACACGCACACAGACACACACACACACCATACAGACACACACACACATATAAACCACAAAATTACATTTATATCGCGCATTTCACGTCGGGAGAATGTCACAGACACAGCCACAGATATACATACAGACACACTCAGACATATACATATACAGACAGACATACACACACACACAGACATGCACGCACACACAGACAGACACACACACATAGATGCAGACACACGCACACAGGTGCTCACACACACAGACACACATGCAAACACAGTGACACACACACACAGACACACATACACAGAACACACAGACACAGATACGCACACACAGACATATCTACAGACACAGTGACACACACACACACAGACACTCGCATACACACCCACGCAGGCACACCCACACTCACACCCACACACAGACCCATACAGACGCGCGAACACACAGATGCACACACACAGACGCGTGCGCACACAGAAGCACATCCACAAAGACACGCGCACACACACACACACACACACACACACCATACAGACACACACACACCATACAGACACACACACACCATACAGACACACACACACACCATACAGACACACACACACCATACAGATACACACAACACACACACACACCATACAGACACACACACACCATACAGACACACACACACACACCATACAGACACACACACACACCATACAGACACACACACACCATACAGACACACACACACCATACAGACACACACACCATACAGACACACACACATACACAGAACAACAACAAAATTAAATTTTTATAGCGCATTTCACGTCGGGAGAATTTCACACACACAGACACAGACACAGATGCACACACCAGAGACGCACACACACACACACACTGACACAGATGCACACACCTGTGACGCATGCACACACACACACACACACACAGACATACATATACACATACAGACACACACCGACATATACGCACACAGACACAGACATACACACACCGACAGACACACACACAGACACACATAAGCAGACGCTCACACATGCAGACATGCATACACACCCAGACAGACACACACCCAGACAGACAGACACACACACACACACGCACACAGACGAGCATACACACACAGATGCGCACACACAGAGACAGGCACACACATATATACCCAGACAGATACACACACAGACACACATAAACAGACACCCTCAGACAGACACACACACACATGCAGAAACACACACAAAAAAAACACACACAGATAGACACAGACACAGGTACACACACACAGACAGACACAGACACAGGAATCAGACACACACATAGAAACACACGCACACACACATACACACACATGTACACACACAAACAGACGTACAAACACAGACGTACACACACAGATAGAAACACGCGCATACACACACGTACACACAGACATACACACACAGACACACATACACACAAACAGACATACAAACACAGACATACACACATAGAAACACACGCACACACATGTACACGTACACACGTACACACAGACATACACACACAGACATACAAACACAGACATACACACGCTCATGCAGACACGCACAGACACACACTCAGAGACACACACACAGACATACACACAGACATACACAGACATGCACAGACAGACACACATACAAACACAGTGACACACACACAGACAGACGCGTCAACACAGACATACCTACAGACACAGAGACACACAGACACCCGCACACAGACAGACGCGCCCACACACACACAGATGCGCACACACAGAGACAGGCACACACATATACACCCAGACAGATACACACACAGACACACATAGACAGACACCCTCAGACAGACACACAGACACACACATACACACACATGCAGAAACAGACACACACAAAGACACACACAGAAACACACACACAAAAAAACACACACACACACAGACAGACACAGATACAGACAGACACAGACACACACACGGCTGGAATCCTCGCGCCTTCAGCCACTACACCCGAAACTCTGGAACTCTCCCCCTCAACCCCTCGCCCCCTCCTTCCCCATCTTCAGGTCACGACTCGAGTGGCCACCGATTTGTAGACAAGTGAGAGGTTCTTGAAATCGATCGGATCTGTGAGATAACAGACACCACGACAGAGACACACAGAGAGACACACAGAGACACACACACAGAGACACACAGAGAGACACAGAGACACACAGAGACACACAGAGACACACAGAGAGACACAGAGACACACAGAGAGACACAGAGAGAGAGAGAGTGGCACTGACAGACACACATGTAGAGAGAGACATACACAGAGAGACATACACAGAGAGACATACACAGAGAGACACAGAGACACACAGAGACACACAGAGAGACACACAGAGAGAGAGAGTGGCACTGACGGACACACATGTAGAGAGAGACATACACAGAGAGACATACACACAAAGAGAAAGAGAGAGAGAGACATACACAAAATACGATGTATACGGAGACACACACACACACACAGACATAACCACACAGACAGAGACACACACACACAGAGATATAAACGGAGACAAATGCCGTCTCCGTCCATGTTGTGGTTCTGGTAGAAAATCACTGCGCTCCTCCTCCTGCTCCTTCATGTCCTCCTCCTGCTCCAGTTTGAACACGAGCTGCAACGGGACAGTGAGGGGGGAAATCCCCGTACCCTCCGCTCCCCCAGCGCCGGCCGCGCTTTCAGCCATTATGCCCCGAAACTCTGGAACTCTCTCCCCCAACACTTGTCCCCTCCGACCCCATCTTCAGGGGCTCCTCGAGTGGCTGAAGCCCGTGGCCACTGATCAGCACCAGACACACAGAGAGAGACACACACACACACACACACACACATATGTACACACACACACACACACAAACAGACATACAAACACAGACCTACAGATGCACATACAACAACAACAACAACAACAAGATTCCATTTATAAAGCGCCTTTCACGTCAGGAGGACGTCCCAAGGCGCTGCACAGTTGGGTCAGGACCCGAGCATTGGGGGGAAATGGTCAGGGTGAGGGGAGGGAAGGGAGGGAGCGAGGAGGGGGGAAATGGTCAGGGTGAGGGGAGGGAAGGGAGGGAGCGAGGAGGGGGGAAATGGTCAGGGTGGGGGGAGGGAAGGGAGGGAGCGAGGAGGGGGGAAATGGTCAGGGTGAGGGGAGGGAAGGGAGGGAGCGAGGAGGGGGGAAATGGTCAGGGTGGGGGGAGGGAAGGGAGGGAGCGAGGAGGGGGGAAATGGTCAGGGTGAGGGGAGGGGGAGGAGTGAGCGAGGAGGGGGGAAATGGTCAGGGTGAGGGGAGGGAAGGGAGGGAGCGAGGAGGGGGTAGAGAGTCGAGAGGGGAGCTGAAGGCTCGGTCAAAGAGAAAGGCCTTGAGACCGGCCTTGAAGGAGGAAAGGGAGGAGGCGGCGAAGGCACTGGGGATGGAGTTCCAGAGCCTCGGGGCTGAGAGGCTGAAGGCCACCGATGGTCGGGCGGTTGGGGCGGGGGATGTGGAGCAGACCGGAGCCAGAGGAACGGAGGGTACGGGCAGGTAGGGAGGGGGATAGTAGGTCGGAGAGGTAGGAGGGAGCGAGGCCGTGAATGGCCTTGTAGGTGAGGATGAGGATCTTGAAATCAAATACATACAGACACACACAGACACAAACTCAGAGACAAACACACAGACGTACACACACACACAGACATACAAACACAGACCTACAGATGCACATACAGACACACACAGACACAAACTCAGAGACAAACACACAGACGTACACACACACACAGACATACACACATACAAACACAGTGACACACACACAGACACACGCAACACGCAGGCGCACACATACAGACCCACACAGATGCACACACACAGACACGCGCGCAAACAGACCCACCCCCACAGAGACACACGCACACAGACACACACACACACCATACAGACACACACACACACACACACACACACAGACCATACAGACACACACACACACACACATATAAACAACAAAATTACATTTATATCGCGCATTTCACGTCGGGAGAATGTCACAGACACAGCCACAGACATACATACAGACACACTCAGACAAATACATATACAGACAGACATACACAAACACACAGACATGCACGCACACACAGACAGACACACACACATAGATGCAGACACACGCACACAGGTGCTCACACACACAGACACACATGCAAACACAGTGACACACACACACAGACACACATACACAGAACACACAGACACAGATACGCACACACAGACATATCTACAGACACAGTGACACACACACACACAGACACTCGCACACACACCCACGCAGGCACACCCACACTCACACCCACACACAGACCCATACAGACGCGCGAACACACAGATGCACACACACAGACGCGTGCGCACACAGAAGCACATCCACAAAGACACGCGCACACACACACACACACACACACACCATACAGACACACACACACCATACAGACACACACACACCATACAGACACACACACACCATACAGACACGGACACACACCATACAGACACACACACACACACCATACAGACACACACACACCATACAGACACACACACACACCATACAGACACACACACACCATACAGACACACACACACACCATACAGACACACACACACACCATACAGACACACACACACCATACAGACACACACACACCATACAGACACACACACCATACAGACACACACACACCATACAGACACACACACACACACCATACAGACACACACACACACCATACAGACACACACCATACAGACACACACATTTTTATAACGCATTTCACGTCGGGAGAATGTCACACACACAGACACAGACACAGATGCACACACCAGAGACGCACACACACACGCACACACACAAACAGACATACATATACACATACAGACACACACCGACATATACGCACACAGACACAGACATACACACACCGACAGACACACACACACGCAGACACACATAAGCAGACGCTCACACATGCAGACACGCATACACACCCAGACAGACACACACCCAGACAGACAGACAGACAGACACACACACACACACACGCACACAGACGCGCATACACACACAGATGCGCACACACAGAGACAGGCACACACATATATACCCAGACAGACAGACACACAGACACATATAAACAGACACCTCAGACAGACACACACACAGACACACACACACATGCAGAAACACACACAAAAAAAACACACACAGATAGACACAGACACAGGTACACAAACACAGACAGACACAGACACAGGAATCAGACACACACATAGAAACACACGCACACACAAATACACACACATGTACACACACAAACAGACGTACAAACACAGACGTACACACACAAATAGAAACACGCGCATACACACACGTACACACAGACATACACACACAGACATACAAACACAGACATACACACGCTCATGCAGACACGCACAGACACACACTCAGAGACACACACACAGACATACACACAGACATACACAGACATGCACAGACAGACACACATACAAACACAGTGACACACACACACACACACAGACAGACGCGCCAACACAGACATACCTACAGACACAGAGACACACAGACACCCGCACACAGACAGACGCGCCCACACACACACAGATGCGCACACACAGAGACAGGCACACACATATACACCCAGACAGACACACACACACCATACAGACACACACACCATACAGACACACACACACACACACACACACACCATACAGACACACACACACCATACAGACACACACACATACACAGAACAACAACAAAATTACATTTTTATAGCGCATTTCACGTCGGGAGAATGTCACACACACAGACACAGACACAGATGCACACACCAGAGACGCACACACACACACACACAAACAGACATACATATACACATACAGACACACACCGACATATACGCACACAGACACAGACATACACACACCGACAGACACACACACACGCAGACACACATACGCAGACGCTCACACACGCAGACACGCATACACACCCAGACAGACACACACCCAGACAGACAGACAGACACACACACACACACACACGCACACAGACGCGCATACACACACAGATGCGCACACACAGAGACAGGCACACACATATATACCCAGACAGACAGACACACAGACACATATAAACAGACACCCTCAGACAGACACACACACAGACACACACACACATGCAGAAACACACACAAAAAAAACACACACAGATAGACACAGACACAGGTACACAAAACAGACAGACACAGACACAGGAATCAGACACACACATAGAAACACACGCACACACAAATACACACACATGTACACACACAAACAGACGTACAAACACAGACGTACACACACAAATAGAAACACGCGCATACACACACGTACACACAGACATACACACACAGACACACATACACACAAACAGACATACAAACACAGACATACACACATAGAAACACACCCACACACATGTACACGTACACACGTACACACACAGACATACAAACACAGACATACACACGCTCATGCCGACACGCACAGACACACACTCAGAGACACACACACAGACATACACACACATGCACAGACAGACACACATACAAACACAGTGACACACACACACACACAGACGCGCCAACACAGACATACCTACAGACACAGAGACACACAGACACCCGCACACAGACAGCCGCGCCCACACACACACAGATGCGCACACACAGAGACAGGCACACACATATACACCCAGACAGACACACACACAGACACACATAGACAGACACCCTCAGACAGACACACAGACACACACATACACACACATGCAGAAACAGACACACACACATACACACACAAAGACACACACAGAAACACACACACAAAAAAACACAGACACAAAAAAACACACTCACAGACAGACGTAGACACAGATAAACACACACACACACACGGCTGGAATCCTCGCGCCTTCAGTCACTACACCCGAAACTCTGGAACTCTCCCCCTCAACCCCTCGCCCCCTCCTTCCCCATCTTCAGGTCATGACTCGAGTGGCCACCAATTTGTAGACAAGTGAGAGGTTCTTGAAATCGATCGGATCTGTGAGATAACAGACACCACGACACAGACACACAGAGACACAGAGAGACACAGAGACACACAGAGACACACAGAGAGACACAGAGACACACAGAGAGACACAGAGAGAGAGAGAGTGGCACTGACAGACACACATGTAGAGAGAGACATACACAGAGAGACATACACACAGAGAGAAAGAGAGAGAGAGAGAGACATACACAAAGTACGATGTATACGGAGACACACACACACACACACACACAGACATAACCACACAGACAGAGACACACACACACAGAGATATAAACGGAGACAAATGCCGTCTCCGTCCATGTTGTGGTTCTGGTAGAAATCACTGCGCTCCTCCTCCTGCTCCTTCATGTCCTCCTCCTGCTCCAGTTTGAACACGAGCTGCAACGGGACAGTGAGGGGGGAAATCCCCGTACCCTCCGCTCCCCCAGCGCCGGCCGCGCTTTCAGCCATTATGCCCCGAAACTCTGGAACTCTCTCCCCCAACACTTGTCCCCTCCGACCCCATCTTCAGGGGCTCCTCGAGTGGCTGAAGCCCGTGGCCACTGATCAGCACCAGACACACAGAGAGACACACACACACACACACACACACACACGTACACACATAAACAGACGTACAAACACAGACGTACACACACACACAGAAACACACACACACACACACACAGACACACAAACAGACATACAAACACAGACCTACAGATGCACATACAGACACACAGACACAAACTCAGAGACAAACACACAGACACACACACACATACAAACACAGTGACACACACACAGACACACGCAGACACGCAGGCGCACACATACAGACCCACACAGATGCACACACACAGACACGCGCGCAAACAGACCCACCCCCACAGAGACACACGCACACAGACACACACACACACACACACCATACAGACACACACACACATATAAACAACAAAATTACATTTATATCGCGCATTTCACGTCGGGAGAATGTCACAGACACAGCCACAGACATACATACAGACACACTCAGACATATACATATACAGACAGACATACACACACACACACAGACATGCACGCACACACAGACAGACACACACACATAGATGCAGACACACGCACACAGGTGCTCACACACACAGACACGCATACACACCCAGACAGACACACACACACACAGAGAGACACACACAGAGAGAGACACACACACACAGAGACACACACACACAGACACACACACAGAGACAGAGAATTCCATAAATTCACTGCCCTCCGAGCGGAGAAATGTGTTCACCGTACACACATACAAACACAGTGACACACACACAGACGCACAGACACACACACACAGCGACACACACACACACTCACAAAGTCGCACATACACAGAACCACACAGACGCGCAAACACACAGTTGCACACACACACACACACACAAACGTACACAGACACAGCCGTGCGCGCACACAGATGCGAACCCACAGAGACACAGACACACACACCCACATAGACACATACACACACACACACAACACAGACACACACACACCATACAGACACACACACAACAACAACAACAAAGTTACATTTATATAGCGCATTTCACGTCGGGAGAATGACATTCACACACAGACATACAGACACACACACACACGGACACACACACACCATACAGCCACACACACACACACATACACACAGAGAAACAGACACACACACACAGACAGATACAGATAGACACACACATGGCTGGAATCCTTGTGCCTTCAGCCACTACTCCCCGAAACTCACATAGACAGAGACCCTCAGACAGACAGACACACACACACGCAGAAACAGACGCACACAGATACACACACACACACTCAGAGAAACACACACAAACACACACACATAGACAGACACAGACACAGATAGACACAGACACACACACGGCTGGAATCCTCGCGCCTCTCCCCCTCAACCCCTCGCCCCCTCCTTCCCCATCTTCAGGTCGCGACTCGAGTGGCTGAAAGCATTGCCACCGATTTGTAGACACGTGAGAGGTTCTTGAACTCGATCTGATCTGTGAGATAACAGACACCACGACAGAGACACACAGAGACAGAGAGACACAGAGACACACACAGAGAGACACACAGAGAGAGACATACACACAGAGAGACACACACACAGACATACACTGAGAGATAGAGACACAGACATACACAGAAAAAGAGAGAGACACACACAAAGTAAGATGTGTACGGAGACACACACACACACAGACGTAACCACACAGACAGAGACATACACACACAGAGATATAAACGGAGACATACACACACACAGAAGTACACACACACAGACAGACATCCACACACTCATACACTGATACACACCGAGAGACACACAGAGAGAGACACACACGGCGATATACATACAGGGACACACACACACGCAGACATACACAGAGAGAGATATACACAGCGAGAGACATTCACACAGAGACACACAGACAGAGAGACACACACATAAAGGGAGACATATACCCTCTCACACTGACTCACTCTCTCTTACCAGGTTAATCTGCTGCTGGAGTCTCTCATTACTCTCATTACCTGGAGTCTCTCAAGACTTCTCTCTTGCTCTCTGGCATCTCTTTCGCTGAAGAATTCCCACTCTCACCAAATTCCTGCACAGAAATCCCACTCTGTTCCATCCTCACTCAGGTACGTCCTCGCTCTGCTGGGCTCTCTGCTCGAGGCCTTGGCTTTCAAGCAGAAACTTGTTGATGTAGAACAAGTCCATGAGCATTTGCGATTTTTCTTTGATCAACAGTTGGCCAATTCCAGGACAACCCAGAATTCTGGATAGAGTTAGTGATAGAGAGCAACAGAGAGAGCCAGAGAGAGAGAGGGAGAGAGAGCTAAAGCGAGAGAGTGAGCGAGAGAACCAGAGAGAGAGCGAGAGAGAGAGAGAGAGAGAGAGACAGAGAGAGAGCTCAAGTGAGAGAGCGAGCAAGAGAACCAGAAAGAGAACCAGAGAGAGAGCCAGAGAGAGAGAGAGAGAGCCAGAGAGAGAACCAGTGAGAGAGAGAGAGACAGAGAGAGATGGAGTGAGAAAGCGACTCCGTTAAGAGGCCACACATCCCATCCCACACACAGCAATCTCCAAGTTGAGGGACATCCATGGATCTCAAGCCCAGTGATGGGTCTCTCTCTATATGTGGCTCATGAACAACATCTGGCGACCAAACCTGTTGTCGAGCCGTGTCAGCAACACAAGCCCCAAACTGGTGACCAGCAGCTGTATTGGGTACCAAACAATGGGAGCATTACCGAGCAAGTTAGCCACCAGGTTGGTTACCAAATAAGGGCAGAACCTGGGAAACCATGTGCCTGCTGGGGGGGAGGGGGGGAGGGGGACGTGGGGTCTCCTTAGACCCCAACGGGCTTCAAGGTGACATACCTGGCAACAGGAAGTCAGCACGGAACCAACCCTCGGTGGTAATCTCCATGGCAACCAATGGGCTTCGGTCTCCCTAAGACGTAGGAGCAGGAGTAGGGCATTCAGCCCCTCGAGCCTAAGCTACGGGGAGTCCTTACTCCACACGTCTGATAATAATCCCTCAAAGAAATAAGAAATTGGCCATTTCAACCCACGGCTGTTTGTGGGACACTATTGTGCATAATTGGTTCCCACATTTCACCCACAAATATACAAATATACAGTCAATTCACTTTGCAGCCGATTCACAAATACCGTCCTCTGTCCAATCTATGACCCTCAGTCTTCAATATGTTGAAGGACTGAGCAGCCACAGCCTCTGGGGTAGAGAATTCCACAAATTCACTGCCCTCTGAGCGACAAAATGTTTCCTCAACTCAGTTCAAAAGGCTGACCCTTAATCTTGAGACTATGACCCCAGTTTCAGATTCTCCAAACAGTAAGACTTCTATGTGACTCCTTGTCAAATGCCTTCTGGAAATCCAAATACACCACATCTACTGGTTCCCCTCTATCTAACCTGACAGGTACACCCTCAAAAAACTCTATATGGTTTGAAACCCCAGAGATAGATGGTTGGAATGGAATCCGCTCTCTCACTCTCTCCCTGGGGGGACACATCCTGTTTGCCTCATTTCCCAATGTACTGATTATATCTAATTAAACAATAGTGAAAGGATTAAATATAATAATTCAGGAAAATATTATGATCTTGTTCCCACTCAAGCTCTGTTAACCCTGCAAGCCAAAGCCATGGTCAGACTCCAGCAGTATCCCAACCCACACTCTGGGGTCCCCAAGCCTCGCCATCCAAGCCTGATATTGGTTAAACCATCACAGAAGTGGCTGGGAACACTCAGCAGGTCAGGCAGCATCTATGGAGAGAGGAAAGTGAGTCAACATTTCAGGTCGATGACCATAAGACCTTAAGACATAGGAGCAGGAGTAGGCCATCAAGCCCTCGAGCCTGTTCCGCATTTAATAAGATCGTGGCTGATCTTCTAACCTAATTCCATTTACCCGCCCTATCCCCAGAGCCCTTAATCCCTCTCTCCTTTAGAAGTCTTTCCATTCTGATCTTTTATCAGAATTCTGATGTCAGCGAGTGATAGAGAGGGACAGAGAGTGAGAGATAGAGAGGAGACAGAGAGTGAGAGATAGACAGGGACAGAGAGTGAGAGATAGAGAGAGAGACACAGAGTGAGAGATAGCGAGAGAGAGAGACAGAGAGTGAGGGATAGAGAGTGAGACACGGAGTGAGAGATAGAGAAAGCGAGAGACAGAGATTGAGAGACAGAGAGAGAGAGACAGAGAGTGAGAGATATGGGGACACAGAGAGTCAGAGGTATAGAGACACAGAGAGTGAAAGACACAGAGACACAGAGAGTGAGAGATATAGAGACACAGAGAGTGAGAGATGTAGAGACTCATAGAATGAGAGATATAGAAAGACAGAGAGTGAGAGATATCGAGAGACAGTGGGAAATATTGGGACACAAAGCGTGAGATAGATATATATATATAGAGAGAGAGAGAGAGAAATACAGACAGACAGAGATATAGACAGAGACAATGAGAGAAAGAGATATTTGCTGACTCTAAAGGATGGGAATTAACAGGAAACTTCCATTTGATGCCGGGACTCATTATGCTGAGAAACCGTCTCAAAGTGCTTCACAGGGTTTTACTGTAAAGTGTAGTGACTGCGTTTGCAGACAAACATGTGGATGTCAGTCTGGTTGGATATTCTCAAGGCCAATGTGATGAATGTGGCGGACACCAGGCTGAACACAAACAGCTCTTCACTAATGAATGAGCATCAAATCCACTCTCAGGAACCCCCAGTCCTCCGCTAACCCAGTTTTAAATCTGTCTCGTCCTGTGCCCACAGCACGGAAACGGCTCTGGTCAAGGTCCCAAACGACTGTCTCGTGCGGTGTTCCTCAGGGCTCTGTCCTCGGTCCCCTCCTCTTCACCCTCTACATGCTCCCCCTGTGGTGACATCATCCGCAAACATGGGGTAAATTTGCACACTCTGCGGATGACACCCAACTCTATCTCTCTGCCTCCCGCCTGAACTCCAGGACTACTGGGGTCCTGACCGACTGCCTGTCCCACATCAAGTCCTGGACGAGGGACAATTTTCTCCAAATCAACGTCAGCAAGACCGAGGCCCTCCTGATTGGGTCGCGCCAGCAATCTCTGCCCACACACTCTGGAACTCCATCCCACGGCCCCTTCTCCTCGCTTCCTCCCTTGCCTCCTTCAAGTCCGGTCTCAAGACCCTTCTCTGCCTTCCCACACCCCTACCCCACCCCTCCCCGATGCTCGGGCCCCAACACCTGACTGTTCAGGGCTTTGGTACGTCCTCCCGATGAGAAGGGCGTCTCTATCAATATCATTTTGTTGTTGTGTTGTTGTTGTTCATGTTCCTGCAATCAATGATTAAATGGCCTCGGCCATAAAACATCTTCTGGAAGGTTTGAATTTTAATAAAATATAACAATCTTACATTCAATACAGCAATTCTCAAAGCGCTTATTTTAAAATCTGATGTGTAGTGACTGTGTATTATGCTGTGTTTGACTGTCCTCCTTGGGGTTGGGGGGAAGGTAAGTGGGGTCTCCCTGTCGCTGATCTGGCCCCAAGGTGACACATTGATGGCTTTGCCGAGGGGTCTCCAGGGACTGTAAGGGCTAAATAAACTTGTGACCCTGGGGGTGAAGTCAGGACCAACACAAATTCTTCAATCAATTGATATTTATTAATACAAATGAGTAAAAAAATGACATTTCATCAAATCAAATGAATGCTGACGACAGGTTAGTAAAGTTCACCCAAATGGGTTGATGGGATCAATGTGGGGCTTTGATGTAGGAATTGTCTTGTTAACGTGCAGTGATCCATGTTGGTTGGACTATATCCCTCTTCCCTCCAGATTGGCTGTGGGGAGTGAGTCCATTCTCTCTTCTCCGATATAACCCCAAATCTCTGCCTCTTTCTCCCTTTTTGGTCCCAGACACCAGTCTGTTCAATGTCATGTTAGAAACACCGACTGCAAACACAGGACAAACTTGATCAAAATTCCACCCGACTGAACCCAAACCAATCTATTGTTGGGCAAACCTTCAGCCACTGTCCACGAGGGTCTTCACACCCAAACCCAACCCACACACACCCAGACACACACTGACAGACACCCAGACACACACTGACAGACACACACACACACACACACACTGACAGGGCATAGACACACTCACACACACAGACACACAGGTATACACACACAGACGCACACACACACACACACACACACCCACACGGCTGGAATCCTCGCGCCTTCAGCCACTACACCCGAAACTCTGGAACTCTCTCTCTCAACCCCTCGCCCCCTCCTTCCCCATCTTCAGGTCGTGACTCGAGTGGCCACCGATTTGTAGACAAGTGAGAGGTTCTTGAAATCGATTGGATCTGTGAGATAACAGAAATAAAGACAGTTACAGAGAGAGAGACACACACAGAGACACGGAAAAAGGAGAGATACACACACACAGATAGACATACATACGGAGAGACATTCACACAGAG